TTTACGTTACAGAAAAGGAAAATCCTGTGTGCCTGCACTGGGAGTGTGGCTGCTCAGTGCTACTCCTGCTGTGTTTCCAAGGTAATTTTTGGGGTTCCCAGGCTTTACCTGCTTGGCCCCCAGCACCACGGGCACCATGCACTCCGGCTCGGTGGCCTGCGTGCTCTCGTCGATGAGGATGGAGCGGAACTGCATCTTGGCCAGCCTGGGGTCTCCAGCTCCCACACACGTGCAGCAGATCACATCAGCGTTCTGAGGCAGCAGGGAGCACCATCAGCACCGGGGGGGCACGGGGATGGGGGCACGGGGATGGGGGCACCACTGGGGTGGATGGGGGCACCACTGGGGTGGATGGGCGGCAGTGATTTGGGGTGGTCGCAGAGATTTCAGGCTGGCAGCCCCGGGGATTTCGGGGTGGCAGCCCCGGGGATTTTGGGGGTGCAGCCCTGGGAATTTCGGGGTGGCAGCCCCGGGGATTTCAGGGTGGCAGTCCCGGGGATTTGGGGGTGCAGTAGGAATTTTGGGGCGGCAGCCCCGGGGATTTGGGGGTGCAGCAGGGATTTTGGGGTGGCAGCCCCGGGGATTTGGGGGTGCAGCAGGGATTTTGGGGTGGCAGTCCCGGGGATTTGGGGGTGCAGCAGGGATTTTGGGGTGGCAGTCCCGGGGATTTGGGGGTGCAGCAGGGATTTTGGGGTGGCAGTCCCAGGGATTTTGGGGTGGCAGCCCCGGGGATTTGGGGTGGCAGCCCTGGGGATTTCGGGGTGGCAGCCCTGGGGATTTCGGGGTGGCAGCCCCAGGGATTTTGGGGTGGCAGTCCCGGGGATTTGGGGGTGCAGCAGGGATTTTGGGATGGCAGTCCCAGGGATTTTGGGGTGCAGCAGGGATTTTTGGGGTGGCAGCCCCGGCCCTCACCATCAGCAGCTCCCGCTCCGCCGTGCGCTTCAGCGCCCGGTACCGCTTCTCGTCAGCAGAGGAAAGCTCTCCAGTCTCATCCTTGAGCTGCTGCAGCTTCTGAAGCTCTGGCATGCTGAAAATAAACAGGAATTTTGCTTTACAGCCCACCCAGCTTTGTAGGATTGCAGTCAAAGTGGTTTTTAACTGAAGCAAAATAATCCCATCAAGCAAACCACGGTGCTGGGTTGACAGAACCCCTCAGCTGCGCCCATCACAAACACCAAAAATGGAGGTTTTTTCCTCATTCCTCACCTGTCCATGTTCCTGATCTGGTTGTGCAGGGCCAGGAAGGACACGGGGGAGTCGATGGCCTCACGGCTCTTGGCACACAGACGAACCACCTTGAGGCCAGTCTGGTGGATCTTCTCTGTCAGCTGATCCACAGCGATGTTGCTGGGGGCACACACCAGCACAGGCCTGGGAAAACCAGCCAGGAATCAGCCAGAGCTCTCAACAAACTAGAATTCTTTTTCCACTAGACTTGCAATAAAATATAAGTAGTAACACATCCCCTAAAATATGCTGGGGAAGGGTGTTTTATGCAACAAGCCCAAGTCTCCCCAGAAAATACAGTTCAATGACACGCATGACTTTTGCTTTTAAAATCAAGGTGATTCTTTGCATGAATCAAGCTCATCCCTAGGGGCTCAGAGCGAGCAGCTCTCACCCATTGCCCTGCCTGGCCAGGTGATACACGATGGTGGCTGATGTCACTGTTTTCCCAGTGCCAGGGGGACCCTGGATAAGGCTCAGAGGACGCTGCAGGACGGTCTTGACAGCATAAACCTAAAAAAGGAAAAAAATTTATTGTCATTTAACATTCCCAGCAGAGGATTGAAGCTGTTTAACCTCTGTGAGAGGAGATGAGGTTACCTGAGAGTGGTTGAGATCAGGGAGGCCCTGGGCTGTGAAGCGTTTTGGCAGCTGGCATTTGATGATGACATCTTCCACCTCGTGGCCCAGCAGTTTGTGGTAAATGTACCCAGACACCGAGGTCTCGTCCACTGCAAACGTCTTCAGAGCACTCTGCATCCTGAAACGAAGGAAAAGCAGGAAAATTATTCCTAAAGATCAGTGTGAAGCACCCCCAGGTGTCCCACACCAGGTACCAGACACAAATAGGAAAGTGAACAGCCAACACTTATTAACAGAATTAAAATCACAGAAATTACACTCTGAGAACACAAATTTTGCTTTTTCCCCACGTGAACATTACAAGGTATTCCCAGAAAAACGCGGAGGAACACCAGCTTTGGTGACAGAATCTGGGACAGTAATTTGAGGTGCAAGAGTTTGCAGCCATAATGAAGAAAATAATAGGATAAGAGGAGATAATAATAATAGGATATACTACTAATAAGAAATTATAATAACAGGACAAGAAGCTAAGCCCTGTCTTACCACACAGCGACTTGGCTGAAGCCTGTGGGCCCCACAGCCAAATGTTGATATTTTAACTGTTTAAAGCAATTTCAGGAAGCTCAACTATAAAACTGTTTTTCTTCTTACATTTCAAGTATAATTAAATATAAGGTAAATTTCTCCCTTTGATATCTTTGCAACAAACCCTTCAAAATGAGAAAAATTGGCCGCTTCATGCCATTAATTCAATTTCTAGCCTCTCTGAACCAATACCAGGTGTTGATCACACACTGAGATCTCTGATGGGTGGTGCCAAACCAAGAGAAATGTTTTGGTTGAAAACAGTGGGTGAGGGCAAAGAACAAAAAATCTACACCGAGTGCATCCAGTGCCTGCCAAGCTGAGAGGTGCTGCCTCAATACCTGTCGAAGGAAGTGGATTTCCACACAAAGTCCACCTGGAAGTTGTGAGTGACCTCCACGGGAGCTCCCACGCTGCTCCTCAGCTCGATGGCTATCTCATCACCATAATCTGTAGAACCTCGTTAAGTAGTAATTTCGAGCAAAAATTTGAATTTTATTCTCCCCAATTTTGGTGATTTTCTTTGGCAGAGCCCCGCCCCCTCCCCCAAAAACAGATTTTAAATTAGCAGAGAATTACTTTTGGATATAACAAGTGAGTTGTTAACGACTCCAGCTGTGGGCTGGCCCTGCTGAAGGCTCTCCAAGTAAAGGATACTATCAGGAACTTTGATCACATGCCCAATTCCCTTCCAGAGGGGAGCCAGGTCTCCCTTGTACCTCAGGCAGATCTCATCTCCTTGCATGAGGCGCATATCTGCAAAGGAAGGGGAAAAAAGCTCTGAACAACCACAAAAACCTTCCAGAGCCACCCCAGGCCAGCCCTCAGAGTGCTCTGAAGGCTGTTTTTTCTTCAGAAGGTACAAAAAAGCCCTGACAGAGACAGTCCAGGTGTCCTTACCTGAATCAGTCTTTGGCAAAGTGAAATAAGCAATTCTCTTCTTGTTCAGGCCCAGGTCCCACCTGACTGTGATGTTATCTTGGGTCTGAGAGGAAAAAAAAGATAAAAAGATTATCTATTATTTTCTTGAAGAGCTGTTTGCCAACCACCACAGTCCTGTGCTTCAAAACAGTGCAGAAATGACAAAACTTGCTGTTCCAGTGTCACAGAAATCTGTATTTATTCCTGTTGCTGAGTTCACAGCACCTGCAGAAGGTGAATCCTGTTCTGAGAGTTAACGATGAGAAACAAAGTCCTGCTCACCAGCTGTGTGATTCTCCCCCACTTCAAACACCCCATGAAATGTTTCCAGGAGCTCTCAGAACTCCCATTTCCCTGCCAGGGAACTGCAGCTTCTGAGGGTGACAAACAGCTGCACTTCTGGGAGAGAAGGTGGTTTTTGGAGAGAAAAACTTGAACACAAAACAGGTGACAAGTTCCCACGTGTTTCAATCTCTTAAATCCCCTCACTGTGAGGATTTTCCTCTCCTCTCCCTGCTACCACAGCACCATCACTGCTGATATCCCACTGCTGCTACACCACAGCAATTCAAGTATTTATTTCTTGCACTCAAGGCTTCCTTTTGTGCTGTGACTCCACGTATGACCCTGGTCAGGAGTCCCTGAAAAGGCAAATCTCACACATTTTACCTGAGATTCCTTGAGTTTCTTGTCATAATCTGCCTCAAGCTTGACCAGAGGACCAAATATATTTTGGTATTGATAAGCATCTTCGTATCTAAGCAGGACATGCTGGGGCTCCTCATCAACACCAGGTTTTTCCAAGTCCTCGAGGGTTGCAGATGGATTTTCCTGGAAATTAAAGCAGAGATGTTTTGTTTCACAGTTTGAAGTATAAAACTTGGCACAGGAACGGGAAAAATGGGGTTTGCCGAAAAAAGCAAGGAAAACAAAGGGGGAACAACCCTAAAACCGCAACAAGGCAATAAAAAACAAAATAAAACCAAGTTAAAATTTAAAAGAAGAAAAAAAAAACTCTTAAAAACCTCATAACTGAGTGAAGCAACAACTCCCTGCTCTCCTGGGCATCACTTAAAGCAGAAATATTTGAAAGTCTTGATATGAGCAAGGAAAGTTGTTTTTCAGCTTGGTGAAGCCTTCAACAATTTCTTGAATGCTCTGACAAATTCCCTGTGGCAGTGCAGGATTTAAACCTGGTGTGATTTCTGCCTTCCAGAGCTGTTAAAAGTCTTGTCCTTCCTTCAAAAGACACTCAGAACTGGTAAAATAAAGCCTGCAAGCTGAGGCTGTACCTTCCAGAGCTCCTCCAGTTTGTTGATCTGCTGGGCTGTGATCTGCCGGGCCCGGAGCTGCTCCTGCTCCGAGGGGATCTTCACCAGCCAGGAGAGGAAGCAGCGGTCCTGGATCAGGGGCTGCCACTGGGAACTGTCCCAGTTGATGTCCTTCAAGCTGCTCTGGCTGGCACATGGCTGCCTGCAGGACCAGAACACAGCCAGGAGTTGTGAGATCCGACAAGAGTGAGGGAGATTGGTGTGGAGGCTGAAAACAGGGCTGAGACTGCTCAAAAACCAGGGGAAATCCAAGCAAAACAACCCCGGTCTGCTGGGAAAACTAATTTTTCAGTTCTTACTCCAGTGTTGTGAGAAGTGTTGCTTGGGTTTTTCCAGGATTGAAAATGCCATTTAAAATATTAAATATGACACCTTTGGAGGTGGTTATGATCCATGAATATTGTGCACACACAGACCAGAAAAAGACGTTATTTCCCAAACAGAACTTCCTCCACAGAAATACAATTTCTACTGGCAAACACACAGTGACAGCACTGAATTAAAACACACACAATTATAAATTTTCAGTTCTGACTGAGCCTGTCAGAACAATTTCTGATTTACTGTGGCCTCAAATGACTCTCTGAGCTGAGAGAAAAACACCCTGAGTGAGAGTCACTGTTCCATGGCTCCAGAGTCACTTCCTGACAGGAGCTGTGCCTCTCCCAAAGCTCAGAGGGGAAAACACCTTTATTCCATTAAGGAATGCAGAATTCAGGAAAAAAATACTTTTCTACAGAACAAAGATGTTTGCCCAGCAGAAGAGAACTCCCTTTGCTGCGTTATCCATCTGCACCCCTGAGCTGTGTGCGACCACCTGAAGGAAAAAGGGTGGCAAACTAGAACCTAAGATGTATTTTGGGCCAAAATGAAAGCAAGGGCTGGTTTTTCTCAAGGCAGACGCTGAGGAGAGCTGGCAGCAGAGCCTCCCTCACCTGCACAGCAGAACCACCACGGAGTCAGCCTTGGCTGGGATGAAGCCCAGCAGGAAGACGTTGCGGCAGCCGCAGTTGTAGCACTCCAGGACGGTCTCGCCCAGGGGCCCGTCCTTGTGCAGAGTCACCTCCTTGCACTTGGCTCTCACCAGGTGGTTCACGATGTGGCTGCAGGCACAGAGACAGGTCACGGGGAAGATTCACAGCACAGACCCACAGCACTTTCACACCACAAACGTGTGTTAGGATTGATTGCTGCAGGCTGGCGTTGAAGGCACTTGATGCTGTTTCATTTTCGGACTCGGGTGTTTATTGTTTCTGATCTATGTTACAGGCTCACTACCCTGCAGCTCTTTCAGGAGCACGGCACAAAATGGCTAACGAACTCCTATTACAAGGTCTTTAAAAACTAAACTGTCCAATTAAGAAAGGACACCTGGATTATTTTCCCTTTTAACCCAACAACTGATCCCCCAAAGCCCCCAATGCAAACCTTTATTTCCAATCACAAAACATCACCCAAACCCATGAAGAAGAAGGAAGAAGGTGAAGAAGAACAACCTGTCTCCACCCTAAAACCTCCGTCTTGCTTCATATTTATTTCAATATTCTAAAATCCCAAACTCCAAGTTTTCCACCCTGTGATATTACACACTTCCAACCAACTCCAAACCCACAATCCCAGTGCTATTAATCTATTTGAAAAGCCTGTTCCTGACCTCAGGCCAAGTGCAGTGTTCTCTCATGGGTCTGTGCCTTTAAGCCCAGAAGGTTTAAAATTCTCAGCATCCGGGATTCCAACTTGCTAGCAATTATTAGAGCACTGATAAATCTATTTATTATGGCACACATTGGCAGGATCTGCCTCTTTCCATCCGTGCTGGGAACATTTCTCAGTGCATGGGTGTGGTATTCACATGCCCTCTGAACAGAGGGAGACTCGCTTTCTCAGGATTTCTCCTGAGAGAAGCTGAGAAAAGAGGATCAAAACAAATCTTATCTCATTCACTACTCCTGTGTTTGTGCCATGTAGAATGTGCTACAGAGATTGTTTACCCAAGGTGATTACCTAATGAAATTTTGGTGTTTAGATTCACTGACCAATTGGATCCATGTGTGTGTCAGGACTCTCAGGAGAGAATCACAAGTTTTCTACTTAGTTAGTTGTTGGCTCCTGTTAGTGTACTATAGTATAATAGTTTAATGAAGTAATTAATTAGCCTTCTGAAATCACTAGAGTCCTCCACATCATTGTTCCCAACACCGACACATGGGTGCTCCGAGAGTGAAAGAAGGGGAAATGGGTACAAAGGTGATTTTTGATTTCCAGGATTTCACCGTTTACCTGCCAGAGGTGTTTCCACGCCCGTTGCAGAACCATTTCTTGCTGGTGTTGCAGTAAACCACACAGGCAGGGTCATGGATGCCACAGTAACTGCAATTCCAAGGGGAAAACCAGAAGTGATTAGTTATTGCTGAGAGGAAAATCCAAATCCAAACTCTGACTGGATTTACAGGGCACAAAAATAAGGGAAGAGGAAACTGGGAGAAGCATCAAACAGGAGCAGATTCCTGCTGCGAGTCACAAATATTTTAGAACTCCCCATCACTGGGGTGGCTGAGCCTGGGATTTATCCCCAGGGAGCTCCGAGCTGGCCAAACGTGGACGTGGCAGCTCCAAACCTGCTCCAGAACTCCAGGAGCAGCTCCCAAAATCCCTCTCCCTCCTGGAAGCCGGACCTGCAGGCGTGCACAGGGAGATCCTTGGTGTAGTAAGTGTCCTCCTCATCCTCCTCGAAGTTGAGCTCTGCCAGGAGCTGGCTGGTCTTGGCCACGTTCTCATCCACAGCTCCGTTCTGCAGGATCCCATCAGGACCATTCACCTGGAACGGGGTGCACACCCAAAATGAGCCCCAAAATCTTGTGTGGCACCGAAAAACCTCCTCAGAAACTGCTGCCAAGAGCATCATACACGGCCATTATACAACCACGATCTGCTTCATCAGCTCCTGCTCTCCAGGACTATTTCAACTCCAGCTGATAAGTTGGAATAAAGTTTCCAGGAGGAGATTGCTTTCCTGCACATTGCATTTTTCCATGCAATCCCACAATCGATACTTGCTCCAACTGATAAGCAGGAAAACAAGGAGATTGCTTTTCTGCACTCACATTTTCCCACAACCTTACAGAACAAAATTCCATTTCAACAATTCCAGCAGTTGTTTTCTCACCCTTCTTTTTATTCCTGGGATCTACCTGGGAACAGGAATTTCCCCCACCTCTTCCTGTATCCACCATGGACTGCCAGAACCATGGAATTCTGCAACATTTGGTGCTGTCTCAGCAACTTTCCCACCCCCAGCCTTTCTCCTGACAAAAATAACTCCATTTTTTGGCACTTTTACCACCAGGAGGTGGTGGATATCACGCTGGGATTTTGGCAGGACCACTGCAGGTGCTGCCCCTTGGGCTTCCCACGTGTCCTGGTTTAATTTCTCCAGCCCTGAGGGGCTTCAGCACCCCAATACTGAGCTGGGAAAGAGCCCAAAATGTGGTTTATTCTCTGTCTTCTTTAGCCAAGATCCCACCAAAAGCTGAACAGGGATAAGTTTATCTTAATCCACATTAATTTTGAGTGGAAAATGTGGGAAAGGGGCCACCAAAGTGGCTGGAATATTCAAAACACATCTGAGGGGAGTGCTGGGGTCATTTCCCTATCAAAGGAATAATTAACCCCCCCCCCCCCCAATATTAGTAAAGTTAAGATTTATTTTCTAAATATTAACCAGCCAAATAGGACAAAAATCACTCATGGCCTTTGTCTCTGATATAATATTTGAACAACTTAGATTTAATGCAATTTAACTGGGAGGTGCAACTTAATTCTGCCAGGGAGAACACAAAACCTTTAGCAAAAGAAATCAAAAAATAAATTAAAAAGTTGCCCTCTTCATGCTGTAATGAAGCAAACTCAGCTTATTTCTCATTTAGAGAGATCCACATTAAAAATTTAACAGCCAATTGCAAGAATTAAAGGCCAAAGCCAATTTCCCACTTGTCCTGGGCCACCAGCTCTGTTTCCAGTTCTGCAAATGAAATGAGGAGCATTTAAATAAAATCAATAAATGGGCTGACTTCTATTGGTGTTATCTCCAAGCTCTGCCTTTAATAGAAAGGATCAGCCCAGAGGAACCGAGAGTGCAAAAGGGAAGCTGGAAAAAGGAATCCAGCCCCACGGCAGGAGCAGCAATATCAGCGGGGTGAGGGCAGATCCCATCAGCTGCCTGGGGAACAGACTGCACAGATAAATATCCACTTCAGATCACTGCCAGCAGAGAAATACCCACTTCAAATATCCAATTCCACTTGACAGAGCCATTGTACAAAAGGTAAATAAGGCCTGATCCAGCACAGGTGGGATTCCAAAGCCTGGGGTTTATCTGAACTCCTTACAAGCATTCCCAGGCATTTCTACCCAACAATGCATTACTTGAAGGTTGGTTGATTTTAATACATTTTCTGAGTGCTCATAAAAAACCGCCCTCCTGTTTTTTTAAAAAAAGCAGTAAAGTTTGGGCTCGGTTTGGGATTTTTTAAGGCAGAAAAGGAAGAAATGTCAAGGGCAGGAGTGGCTGTGCTGTCCCAGCCCTCGGGGAGGCAGCGGTGATGTCACCTGTGCTGTGCAGCCCCAGCCCTTGGCAGGCTGTGGATGAGGAAGTGATTGTTGCAAACCCTCCTGTGATGTCAGCCCGTGTGCACTGGATTAAAAACCTGGCACGGGCAGCTGTGGTGGCAGGGGGGCCACTGCTGTGCTGGGAAAAATGTTGGCTGCAACTTCTGGCACGGCGAGTTTGGCAGCTCCGGGCTGAGCGCTGAGAGGTGCCACAAAACTACTCCCAAAAACTGCCCGGCCTGCCTCGCTCCTCTGCTGGCCTCCAAAACATTCCCTGGGACACAAAACAAGGGCCAGGGACCGAGCTGAGGGGCAGAAAGCAGCGGGGACGGGGAAGCTGTGCCTGCTCCATCCCTGGATGGGGCTTGGAGCAGCCCGGGACAGCGGGAGGTGGCCCTGCAGGGCTGGGGTGGCACTGAAGGTCCTTCCAAGCACTCTGGGAGTCCCTGGTTCCATGAACGAGGTGACACCATGGCATGAAGATGTCACCAGGAGGTCCCTGAGGGATCCAGGAGAGCTGGAGAGGGACTGGGGACGAGGGATGGAGGAACAGGACACGGGGATGGGGGGATATGGGGAAGGGATCGTTCCCTGTGGGGATTGGAGGTCGGGCTGGAGGAGGGAAGCTCCAGGGACACCTTGGAGCCACTTCCAGAGCCTGAAGGGGCTCCAGGAGAGCTGGGGAGGGATTTGGGACAAGGACTAGAATCCCAGCACAGGGAATGGCTTCAAAGTGGGAAGGGGAATCTGGGTGGGATACTGGGAAGGAATATCCCACCTCCAGGCTGGGATGGAATTCCCAGAGAAGCCGTGGCTGCCCCTGGAAGTGCCCAAGGGGGTCTGGAGCACCCTGGGACACTGGAAGGCATCCCTCCCTCTGGGACCTTTAAGATTGAAGGTGGGATGGAATTCCCAAGAATCTGTGACCATTCCTGGAAGTGCCCAAGGGGGTCTGGAGCACCCTGGGACACTGGAAGGTGTCCCTCCCTCTGGGACCTTTAAGATTGAAGGTGGGATGGAATTCCCAGAGAAGCTGTGACCATCCCTGGAAGTGCCCAAGGGGGTTTGGAGCACCCTGGGACACTGGAAGGTGTCCCTCCCTCTGGGACCTTTAAGATTGAAGGTGGGATGGAATTCCCAAGAATCTGTGACCATCCCTGGAAGTGCCCAAGGGGTTTGGAGCACCCTGGGACACTGGAAGGTGTCCCTCCCTCTAGGACCTTTAAGATTGAAGGTGGGATGGAATTCCCAGAGAAGCCGTGGCTGCCCCTGGAAGTGCCCAAGGAGGTTTGGAGCACCCTGGGACACTGGAAGGTGTCCCTCCCTCTGGGACCTTTAAGATTGAAGGTGGGATGGAATTCCCAGAGGAGCTGTGACCATCCCTGGAAGTGCCCAAGGGGGTTTGGAGCACCCTGGGACACTGGAAGGTGTCCCTCCCTCTAGGACCTTTAAGATTGAAGGTGGGATGGAATTCCCAGAGAAGCTGTGGCTGCCCCTGGAAGTGCCCAAGGGGGTCTGGAGCACCCTGGGACACTGGAAGGTGTCCCTCCCTCTGGGACCTTTAAGACTGAAGGTTTTCCAACCCAAATCGTGCCGGGATTCTGGAATCCTGCAGGCTGTGAGTCCCGGATCAGTGCTGACAGAATATTCCCCTCTCACTCCTGCTCCCAGCTCCCACACCCAGCCGGGCCAGCAGCAGAGCCCCAGGTGAGCACACCTGCAGCCTCCTCACCCAGCTCTGCTTGCAAGTGCTGCATTTCAAGCTGCAACAAGAGCTGTAATTGCACTTTAACTCCAGCAGGTATTCTGCCAGAGAAGTCCTGCGAGAGGCTTCAGCACCAGCCTGCTGACAGAGTCACCCCCAGCTCAGGGGATCCCCCAAACCCCACAATTCTGGGGTGGGGTGGCAAAGGTGTGTGACTTTCCCCTCGGGGCTCTGCTGGGACGGCGGGGTGAGGGAGATTCGCTTTCTTCGCGTTCCCTTTCCCGAGGAGGAAGCCGAGGAAAGCCTCGCCCCTGGGAGGGAGCAGCGAGGGCTGGTGTGGCCCGGACAGAACAGCCTTTGTTAGCAGAGCAACGAAAGGAAAGCCAGCCCCGGCGTGCTGAGCCACCCGGGAGCCCGGCTCGCCCACACCGAGCTCCCAGCAGCGAGAATTCCACAGAATTCCCGGCTGCTCTGGGCTGGGAAGGGACCCCAAAGCCCGGCCAGGGCACCTTCCTCGCTCCCACGGTGCTCCTTGGGCAGCTCGGCGATCCACAGCTGCTCTGGTTTAAATTCCTCTGAAAACACTTCCGAAAATTCTTATGTTGATTTAATTCTAGCAAACAATGGGAATAGAATTTTCTGTAGAAAATGTTTGTGCTCTACTCCTACTTTCGACCATTGGCCGCTAATCAAGTGTAACACTATTAATTAAATATATTGGGAAAGGAAGTTTTTCCCTAAAAAATGAAGTGCCCTGCATGGCTCAACTCATCTTTTTAAAAAGACCCCAGAAACAGCAGAACAAAAGTTTCCACCTCCAATATTCCTCAGCTCCAAATACAATTATTTACTTAATTAGCTTTAATTATAATCACAGGGCTAATATTTCATTAAGCAAAACCTGATCAATTGGAGAAGTCATTATTTAAGATGCCTCCTGCCAAAAAGAATAACAAACTTCAATCATCTAGCGAGGGCAGCAAAACTTCTGCCCAGAAGTTTTAAAAAACCCCAGATTTTGTGATTTTATCAGCCCTGAGCCCATTGAGAGGGGCAGGTCTGAGCAGATCCTGGGCTTTGTTTTACTTCACCCAGGAGGAAACGGGGCCTGCTCCTCCTCTGAGAGTCCCTCCCCAAAAATGACATTTCTAACATCAAAATGAGCAGCAGGATGACCGCAAAAGTTTGCAGAAACTCAAAACCACCCTGAGTTTTTAAAAAAATCAACCCAAAATCCCTTCCTTTTAGCCAGGAGACAAAACCAGTACCTGAAGGTGCTCTCCAGAGATTTTTTTTTTTTTTACTTTGACTTCAAAGGTTTTTCAAACATGTTTAGACAAAAAAAAAGGCCAATTAATTATCCTCTTGCCTGGACTTTCAGCTTATGAGGCTGATTTTGGGGTGGTTTTTCTTCTCCTTGGCCACAAATTCCCTACTGGGAGCTCTGGAGTGATCACAACCCATTAAAGGTTTAAAATTAAATGTGATTAAAATTCTCTTTTAATGTACACAGAGATTTTACTGCTGGCAGAAAATAATTCTGATCTCTCAATGCCCAAAAACTGGATCAATTCTACCAAATCCAAGAGCTGCAAATGAACAGAAAATAACCCAAGAGCTCTGACTCACAGTGACCTGAGCACACCCCTGCAGTCACCGAGCACTTTCAGGCAGAAAAACTGATTTAATTCGTGCTGGGATAAACCCCCAGCACAGGAGAAAGCCTCGCTCAGCCCTGCCCTGCACACCTGTGGAGCTGGATGTGCTCCCTGCTCCCATTCTGCTGCACTCACACACCCACCTGGGGCAGCTCCTGCAAGGAAAAGGACAAAAACCAGGCCCAGGATGTTTGGTTTGGGCATAAAAAACTCACCTAAAACTCTCAATTCCTTTTTACACTCATCCCTTAACACGTGGGTGATGTACAAGCATGTAATGGTTAATAATGGGATTTCTGTGAGGGACCTGAATATTCCACGATCTTCAAACTGGAGAAAAGTGTGGCTTTTTTAGAAATACCGGAGAGTTCTTTGGAGTTTTTGTTGTTTACTACGGGCACACTGAGATTGTTATCTTCATTTGCTGCACTTCTTGTCAGCTGCAATCCTAATTCCTCCCCTGCCTACGAGTTGTGAATTGCTAAATAAATACAATTTCATTCTCTTCTAGGCATCAACTGCAATAATAAAAAAAAACAAAACAAAATAAAACTAAAACCTGTTGTTAAACCACCAAGAACCAGAGCTCAGAACTTGTCCCTACCACACAATCCCCAAACAAACCCAACAGCTGCGTAGCGACAAAGTGGAAACTGAAATTTTAAAAAAAAAAAAAAAAATCAACATTCACAGTAATAACAAGCAGAAATTCAAGCGTTATTTTAGCGAGGGGAAGTAAAGAAGAAGCAAAGAATTTCGTCAGCGCCCAACTTTGGATAACAAACACCAGCGAAAGCTGATTGTTTTAAGGAGAAAGAACCCGAATTTCACCCCGCCTCGGTGGTTTTTTCTTTCCCTCCTCCCCATCGCAACGCCACAACTATCGCGACTCGGCCGCAAGTTTCCTGCCGGCACCAATCCCGGTGGAATCCCGGTGCAATCCCGGCGCAATCCCGGCGCAATCCCGGCTCCCGGGGCCGGGCTCCCCCCGGGGCACCGACCCCCGCTCCTCCGCCGCTCACCTGCGCTTCCAGCGGGCCCGGCGCTCCCTGCCCCGCGCCGGGGGCGCCCTGGCCCTGCGCCGGCCCCGCCTGGCCCGGCCCGGGCGGGGTCTGCGTCTGGCTGGGGAGGGTGAAGTCGGTGAACTCGAACTCGGAGCCCTGCGTGTCGGCGCCGAGCAGCTCGGCCTCCTCGGTGTCCAGGAAGGTGAGGGTCTGCGAGCTGGGGCCGTACGCCTCCACGCTCATGGCGGCGTTCTGCTGCGGGCCGGGAGGATCCGTCCTCCCCACCCTCACCCCGCCCCCGCCGCAGCAGCCGCGGGCTTCCCCCTCAGCGAGCCCGGGCGGCCGCGCTACGCGAGCGGCGGGATGCGCCGCGCGCACCAGGCCGCGCGCCCCAACCCACACACACAAACGAACCCGCCGCCGCCGCCGGCTCGCCGGGCGGCCCCGGAGCTAACGGGCGGGAGAAGGGAGCGGAGCGGGCCCGGGAGTGCGGCCGGGCTCGGTCGCTCGGTCGGTCGGTCGGTCGGTCGGTCCGTGCGGCCGCGGCCGCCGCGCGCCAGGCC